TTAAACTTTTGTTCCCTACTCATCTCTCTTCCAGCATTTGTTGTCCCTTGTCTTTGACTGTTCACTTGCCCCCTTTGCATCTGTCAGAGTAGGTGTTTTGTTCTTGCAGGTTGACAGTTTTGTAGGTTTTTAAAGGGGATGTTGTCTATGGTCATCGCTAAAAAGCATGTAAAAATACGGTTTTAGACTAAGTAGAACGTTGGATTGTTGTTTCTCTTTTTTTTTTTTTTTTCTTTCTTTAAATTTCCAGCAAGACTGCATGTTTTTAAGATCAGCTTACTTCTAATTAAATAGACAACACAAATTCTTTTTGCCTTGTCTCTCTGATAGCTCCATTTTCTTCAATCAGATTAACTCTGTCAGCATGCTAGTTTTCAATTCTGTAAGGCTATGAAATTTACTGGAAGATTTTACCCAGTCCTGCAAGCACAGGTGCTGATAAAGACACATATGTGAGCTATCCCTCTGGAACTGAATGGATCACCAGCAGTGAGCAGATCAAGGTATACTTTGTTTTTGAACTTTGCTGTTCTTTTGCACATGAAGTTGAACAGAAATAGTCTCACTTGTCAAAAAATAATTTGGTGGGCATAATTGAAAAGATGAACTCTTAGATTAGAATAGCCCAGCGTTTGTGTATAAAATAAGAGTATATTGTAGTTTGCTAAGGATTATTTATGTTACTGTAGCTCAGATAATTTTTTCTGTCTCAATTAATCATGTGCTTAATGTAGTAAAAATACCACACTTCATTTTGTTAGATTTGAAACTCTGAATCTAGATTTCTCCTGGTGTGACTGCAAATTTCTCTGCAGGGAATTCAGAAAGAAACATACTTCCATAAGTCTTTGCTGTAGCTGAGCATGAAATTTGTCTTGCCAATGTTCTTTTGATTTAATATCTTTGTGCAGCATTGATACTTCCAAATATATCAATAGTAAGTAAAAATAATTTGCCTGTAATACTTAGTGAGAGGGGTCATCAGTGCAGAACTTTGTTACAGCAGCAGAAGTTTCCAGTCAAGTGGAGCTGACTGTGAGAACAAATGAAAGGAACCTCTTTAGAGAGTGAAAGTGTCATATTAATAGCTTTTTTAGAAGCAAATACTGGCTAGGAGTACTTTGGATTTTGGTAATATATTACTGTTCTTTCATTTACGAAAGATTTTGATTGTACCACTAAGATAATGACTAATATTATTATTTGAAATTCTAAGAGAATTATGTGTATGATGCACTGCACAATAAAAAAGAAAAAAGTTTCAACTCTTGGATTTAGGTCCCTTCTTCCCCACCTTTCAAATGTTTTAAAGTCATTAGCCATATAGTCATTTCATGAGACTTATTTTGGTGTAAAAATATACATATTTCAAGTGTCCATGCTCTGGATTGTCTTCCAGTATTAAATGCTTCTTATAATTGCAGAAATATTCAACCACTTAGGTCTAGTCTCTATTGTCCGTAGAATCATAGTTGCATCATATCCACTGATTGTCTCTCATTCAGGTCTCCCAGCCGTTCTTTAATATCCTTTGCCTAATTCTGTAGGCAGAGGTTGGGTTATTTTAAAGATCATCTTCCAGAAAAAAATCAGAGAAGGTTCCTTCACAGAAAGTACTTAAAGCTGAAGACCCATCACGGTAGCAATCACAAGAAATACCTTCTTCCCTAGCAGTACTGTGGTATTGCAATTTTGTGAAGGAGGGAAGTTTTTTGTATCATGGTTTTGGCTAGGGTTTATTTTGGGGAGGGCCATTGAATGGCTGAGTCAACAGACTGGAGGTCTTGAAGCAGGTCTTGCAACAGCTTGTCAGTACTGTTCTGCCACGGCTGAGGTTTGCACTATGGACCAAGTCTGGATTGTGCAGCTCCACGGTCTTCTGAGTCTCATCTTGCACGTCTTCTCTGGTCTCAGCACAGGTTGAAGAAACTCTGTAATGGCTGCAGACTTTGACAACCTAGCTAAAATATTCCACAAAGTCCTATCTGTTTCCATGGTGTACGTTAGGAATGTGAACTAGCATGGTATCCTGTAAATACAGAGATATTTCATGCACTTTTTGGAATGTGCTTGCTTTGAGGAAAATAAATGTAAAAGCACCAAATAACTCTTAAAATTCAAGACACAATATCAGAAAACTGGGAAATCTAGGGAGAGGAATTAAGTCTTAGTCTCATGGTGGCTGGTGCTTCTAGTAGTACACAGTACCAAGAAGCATCATCCCTCAAGTGGTGCCTTCTTTAGTATTGTGAGCACTTGCACCTGTCACTTGACCTAAATGCAGGCATCCTCCATTCAACAGTGAGTTTGGGCAATCCTGTCATATGAACAAGCATGTCTTCTGTTGCACAGCCAGGGGCAGTTTGTGCAAGATGAAGCTACTTCGGTCACTTCAGTTTACTGGCACTAATTCAGTGGTGCCTTCATGAAAGTCCTGCTGCAGATACTTTCTTCAAGTACATGATGTAGCAGAAACTGCAGGTGTTCTCAAGCAGTGTCTCCTAGGCTGACAGACCTATCCTGTTATTTGCTCCTTCGGCAGATCTGGGGGGCCTTCAGGAGCAGAAATAGGTGGTGGTTTGAATTGTTTTGGCCATGAGATAGGCACCCCACCGTAGATAAATCTGCCTTCCTGATATTTTGCATCGTGAATTCTGTTCCTTCTCAGGAACTGGATGCAACATAGATTTCTGAACCTCATGGATCACCAAGCCCCAGTTTGCATCTTTGCAAAAACTGAAGTTACCACATAAACCATTTTTTGTGTTGCACTCTATCTTGGTCAATTGCATTATGCAGTGGTGTAGTCCTTTGCTGATTTTGGGTAGCTAAGTGCATTCTGGAGTTGGAGTGTTTCAGGCTGACTTACGTGTCAGCTCTGTGCAAACCCTACCTGTCTGTCATTGGCATGTTTAAAGCAGTGTTGTGAAACTTAGCTCACCTCGTTGGTCAGACTTGTTGGTTTTGGTAAGAAGTGAAAGTGTGGATTTATGGGTTTTGTTGGGGGATTTTTTTCCCCCTCTCCTTACTGTTTACCTTTACTGTACTGTTTGTAAGCAACAGCTGGTAAATTCTTGTGTTAATTCATGGAGTTAATTAGCAAAAGTATGAGTGACTACCTCTTCATTGCAGGTGGGGACCTGTATGTCCCTGTATGCAAGGTCAGACAAAGTTTGGCCGAGGGCTGGATTTAATCTTCATAAAAGAAAGGAGTCAGCAGTAAGTACAAACTTCAGGCTGTAAGGTACCATGTTGAAAGAAGTGGACTGGCATATCATTTTTGATATAATCTGACTAGCTTCCTGACGAGGTTACTTTGTGTTCAGTGGGGCAGCAGAGATGAGGATCTTATTTTGATGTCCCACCAATTGCAAGCAGTGGGTAGGAAAATGCTGGTTTTCCTCTCTCTGTTCTCAGATGGCCAGGGGATGGGTAAGGGACCCAGGTGTGTGTTTGGAGACAGAGCCAACTGATTTACAAATATCTTACCTTAAGTTACTTGTGCTCATTGTGGCTTGTGGTGTATTTTTTGACGTATGGAAGATTAAATCTGTTTTCTGAATAAGCAAATATATTCTTAAACAAGCACATGGTGTCTCTTTTGATTACTTTAGTAATAATCTGGTGAGGGCACAACTAAATTGGTACATTCAGATTGTACAGTAACAAAATTAGTGTATGATAATTGAGTTGAGGTTGTGGGGTTGACACTTGGAGTGTATCTGTAGACATTATACTGGGAAGATAGAAGGTGGAGAATTTGCTTTCTATCTGAGATCAGAAGAGATTATTTTTTTCCTGCCTGAGATTTGAGGATCTCCTTCCTTAGCAATGAAATTTTCCACTAAACAGGAGTTGGTGGAGAAATCATGCATAATGGAAAGTGTAAAATAATACTGCTTTCTGTCCAAATGAGTCTGAATTCTTGACAACCTGTGTTTGTTTTCAAGAAGCTGTTAAAGCTGCTCTTCCAGCATCCCTGCATGCTAGAGAAAGCTGAAGAAAAAGCAAAATATGGTATTGAAACTAAACAGCTGAGTCTCTTCTGTTTTGTTTGCTCGTATGAATTTTTGCAGCCATCACTATTTTTTTTTTTTAAGAAGGTTTGATTAAAGCCTGTCATACAAAGTTGCTGTTTAATCAGACTGGCCTCAATGTCTCAAATCTTTCTAGTGTTCAGTGGGCTGCCTCACACAGCAGAAGGAAAAATGGGACCTGTGGAAAGTGTACATGTGCACACCTGCACATTGCTGTCTGTGATTTTCTTTTGCATGAGCACCTGATCACACTGCTGCAGGGCACATTGGGTAGCACTGGGTCAGTCAGGGGCCTCTACTGGTTAATGTGTTTTGTTTCCCTTGCAGTAGCAGCTATTATAGCTCCATCACAAAGCTAGGAGTACTTGTGTTAATTCAGCTGCTTAGGTAATAATCTAAAAATACAAAAAAGGGACCTTCCTCAGTTAGGAGCTTTGGGAAAACCTAATACAACTTTTCTGATTATTTTAAGGTGAGAAGAGCCAGAGTCACTGAAAGGAATCTTCCTAAAGAACATTTAAAGGATTTTTAATTCTGGCTCATCTAATCATGGCTATTACTTCCAGAGTCTTCAGCAATTTTAAAAATATCTCTGGTTTCCTATCACTACAGCATTGAGGAATTAATGCAAAATTTTTGTAGTGGCTTTTATATTGTGTCAGAATAAATTGTACAGAGGTAAAACACACTTCCTTTTCTTGCTCAACTTAAATTTTTATTCCTGCCTTAAAACATATTTGAATCATTTATTTGCCAAGTTAATACACTGCATGAGTTTTGCAGAGGCTGGCTTTCTGAAAATACGTTTTATCATACCTGCAGCCTGGCAAGAATCAAGGTGAATTGATGAGTTTTCAGTAAAAACAAGGAAAAAAGATGATGGACTGTTTGGGAAGCATTTCCAGTCTGTTCTATTGAGAAAAATAATTGGCATCTACTGGAAATAATTTTAATTTTATTTCTTTCTGTTTTTTAAGAGATGAAATTGGATTAATACCCTGCCCTGAAGCCAGGTATAACCGGAGCCCTATTGTCCTGATAGAAAACAAGCTTGGTGTGGAGAGCTGGTGTGTCAAGTTTCTTTTGCCATATGTCCACAATAAACTTCTCCTCTACAGACAAAGAAAACAGTGGCTGAACAAAGATGGTAAGTTATGCAGTTGGGGAATAGTATCGTAGTGATTCTTAATGCATATTTTTTATTCATCATAGAATCATTTAGGTTGGTAAAGACCTTTAAGATCATGGAGTCCAATCATAAACCTAACACTGCCAAGTCCACCACTAAACCATGTCCCTAAGTGCCATGTCTACATATCTCTTAACCATCTTTAGGGATGATGACTCAACTACTGCTAGGGCGGCTGGTTCCAATGCTTAACAAAAACAAAAAAATCTTTTTGGTGAAGAAATTTTCAATAATATCCAGTCTAAACCTGCCCTGGTGCAACTTGAGGCCATTTCCTCTTGTCCTGTCACTTGTTACCTGGGAGAAGAGACTTGACATCCGTCTTTCTACAACCTCCTTCTGGGTAGTTGTAGAGAGCAGTAAGGTCTCCCCCGAGCCTCCTTTCCTCCAGACTAAACAACCTCAGTTCCCTCAGCTGCTCCACAAAAGACTTGTGCTCTAGACCCTTCACCAGCTTTGTTGCCCTTTGATGTGCTTCAGCACCTCAGCGTCTTTCTTGTAGTGAGGGGTCCAAAACTGAACACAGTATTTTGAGGTGCAGCCTCACCAGTGCTGAGTACAGGGTGACAATCACTTCCCTAGTCCTGTTGGCCACACTATTTCTGATACAAACCAGGATGCTATTGCCTTGGCCACCTGGGCACACTGCTGGCTCATATCCAGCTGACTGTTGACCAACTCCCCCAGGTCCTTTTCCACTGGGCAGATTTTCAACCAGTTCACCAAGCCTGTAGTGTTGTAAGGGGTTGTTGTGACCCAAGTGCAGGACCTGACACTCAGCCTTGTTGAACCTCATACAGTTGGCCTCGGCCCATAGATCCAGATGCCTCTGTAGAGCCTCCCTAGCCTCAAGCAGATCATCACTCCTACCCAACTTGGTGTTGTCTGCAAACTTACTGAGGGTGCAATCAGTCCCCTATCCAGATCAGTTTACCTTTTTCGACACTACTGGGCCCTTCTTAAAGCCAGTTTAACCTGTTCTTAGAGAACTGAATGTTGTTACTGGGAGGGGAGGACAGGCTTCGGATTATGCATTTTGGCAACCTAAACAAGTTTTAGGGTTGCTTAGTTGAAAATTTAAGTTTTCTCTCTTGCTCAAGCTGGAAGAGTTAGAAGGAGATGAGTTACTTCAGTGAGTGATTTAGGGAAGTGATGTTAACCTTTACAGAAGGAATTTTGCACTGCTTTTCCTGAGTCAGAAGGAGAACTGTGGAGATGTAAGAAAGTGCAGTGTTTTTCAGATGTAGGGGTACCAGAAATCCTTAGTCCATACAGTAATTGTAAAGCATTATTTTTTTTTCATACTTTTGTTTTGGATTCTAGTTTGTTTTACTGGCATGAAAAATGTTGTAGTATATGTTGTCTATTTTGTATTATTTTAAAGAATTATAAACAGGTGTGACATGGGAGATACTTGACTGCTTACAAGGTGTCCTGCTTGGAGTAAGAATGGAAAAGGGTAACTGTAGTTTAAGAAACTTGATTTTTTTTGTTCATGTTTTCAGGTCTTCTAAATAGCAGTCAGCATAAAGAATATTCTTACTCTAGGCTTATTGCAGTGTCTTATTTCTGGTGCTTATTCATATTCTTTTTGAGGCTTCTTTTTAATATCTTTTGCCTGCTATGGTATTTTTCACATTTTTGTGTTCTAGAAAGAGGGATATCTCATCTGTTGAACATCCCGTGACTACTTACAGAATTCATATCTTTATCTCATATGCACCTGGATTTCATTTTGTGGCTGTTACCATGTTTTAATTTGTTTCTGTTTGCATGAAACAAGCCTAATCCATAAACAACTGACTGTGTCCACTGTGCTTTAAAATCACTGTCTAGGACTATCTTCCCCTTCTGGAACATACCCAGCAGCCACCATCCATTGGGTTGTGTTGGTTGCAGCTGTAGCAAAGGCAGTCTCCCTGGTTGCTTGATGAACTAGTGAGTTAAGGAATTGTTTTAAATAGTGGGATGCTAGTAGACATCTGATGCAGACTCAAGCATCCAGTCATCATATATATACTATATATATATATATAGTATGATGTACCATCTTGAACAGATAGGTTTTGAGAGTAGGTCTTTGCAGATTAGGAAAAGAGGTCAGGTTAGTCATCTCTTTCTCAATATAATTGCCGTTTGCTTTTCTCTAATTTTTTTTTATTACTGTAGTCTGTTTCACTTTAAGTAGTTGAAGCCAGCTGTGCATTTACCCTCATTAAAGCATAGAATTGGAGATGGTCAGATGGTGTTAGTCAGGTCTGTAAATGTGTACTTGATCTTCCTTTGCCTTCATGGATGATATGGAGAAATAAAATTGGGGTCTTTACTGAATTTTGGCAAGGGGGCATTCTCGTTGCCTACTTTTGTTTGTCTGAGGGTGGGATCTAGAGTTATTAAACAGACTAATTCCTTATTACAAATGTGGATATATAACACAAGCATTTTGAAAAGAGTATCATTAAATGGCAGAAAAGGCTCATAATATGAGCATAAATGTGCTTGCCTTCTAGTAGATGGGGAGAGGTCATACATAGAAACTTTTTCCCTCTTTGCAGGACAGATCATGCTAAAGAGGAGCCCATTTCACTGGCAATATACAGTCTTGCACTGCTGGCTTTGTACCTTGGGTGGTGTTAGAGTAACAGAGCACTGGATTGATACTTGGAGTCAATTCCCCATTCAAAAGAGTAACAAGAAAGTTGAAGCACTTTAATGTGTTGTTGGGTATGACTGACCTGTTGATTGTCTGTATTTCTGTCTAACAGATTTTCTGTATATATTCCCTTCCCACCATCAACAGAGGGTTGATGTTATATCATTATGTGATTATCTAGGAGAAGTGGTTTGTGGAATTCATAAATTTTGCATTGTCCTTTTTTTATTTTCACATCATTTATTTGCATTAATATTCTTTCTTGTTACAGACATCTTTAAAAGACTTTTATTCCTAGGGTATACGTATTTCTAACCTAAGTAACTTTCATTCAGTTCTGATAGAAAGCAATAATTGTAATCTGATCGCAAATTCAGAATTTATAATGCAGATGATTATAAAATTCAGTAAAAAGAGCTTTCAGATAAGGAATATAAATAATGTTGACTCTGACATGTAGCCAGAAACAAGTTTTAGCATTTAATAAAGAGATGAACCTGCTATCACAGGCAGCCTTAGCAAGACTAATGGTTCTCATTGCAGTGCTTTTTGCAGGTCTGAGGATTTTGTCAAGTGTATTTTGGTTATGCTGCAGATCTTCAGAAGACAGAGTTTCCTTTTCATCTCAGTCCCAAGTGTTACACAGAAGTCCTCCCCTTGAAATTGCCATGCAGACAAAAACTTGCTTAAACCCAAAATACAAACCACTGAGATTTGTCACTCTTGCATTGGGAGGCTGGAGACCACTGATAGCTGTTAGCTAAAGGGCAGCTGTGTGCTAATGTGCTGGCACCCTGCTTCATCCACACCGGTCCAGGTGCCTTGTTGCAGTGGCACTGTGGCATGTGCCTATTCCGCCAGGATGGTACAGTGCACCAACTGCTTGGTGTGTGTCTGCTTCCCTCCCAGATGAAGCCTTGCAGAACCATTCCTCTCAAAATGCAGATCATGAGACTGTCAGTAAATTACAGCCTGTTTGTTGAGACTTGTTTGGTTTTCTTCTTTTGAAAACAAAACTCCATTCTCCTTTTTCTTCAGTTACAAAAGTTAGTTTAAAATGTGTAAGAAGAGGTGATCTACAGCTTTTTCATGTCTGTTGAGGTTTTGTCACCACTGTAAAACATGATAGGACTTCCATCCATGTTAATAACCTGTTTGTAAAGCAAGGTACAGCTTATAAAGTTTAGTATCTTTTATCATAATCATAATTGAGTTTCACATTTTATATGAAGTTTTAGCAGACACTGAACTGCAGTGGTGGAGGGAATGAAGGTGGAAGTTTTTCCCAGGTGGACTTCCGGAATTGTCCCTAATGTGGTGTATGTAGGCATACACTAAGAGACATTATGTTTTCTGTACGTTTAGAATACCCTCAAGGATTTTTACTCCAAAGTCCTTTTTGTAGATGAAAGTACATGCTTAAAATTTGTCAAGGTAGTTGTTTCCTTCTGAATGTAGTGAAGGGATAGATTTGTTTACTACTGCTGCAAAACTCAATTACATTTTCTATTGATGCTTGTAATAAGCGGTGATTGCACATGTAGTCTCTCATTACGTCTTGTGTTGTTCGAATTACTGTAAGCCATTTTAAGTAGAACAGAGAAGAAAATCGGTGCTGATTCAAGTGTCTGCTTTCAGATGTAGTGTCTGATATTTTTCTGGCAGGATCTTGGAAAAAGGAAGTGCTTTATAGTCAGTCATTGATAGCTGACTGTAACAGATGTTTAATTTAGTTCTCTTCTTGCTATTGTTCTAGTTTAGAAATCCTAATTTTACAATATGTTTTTATTCTTTCTCCAATTTTTAAATGTATGCATGCATATTATTTATATTATCACAAGATAGTTTTCTGAAATTACTGTACACTTTTTATGCAAAGTATTGTGCATCCTCCCAGAATATCCTTACTTTCCCTAAATCTGTGTTGCTACTTTTACAACACTCTTCTAGAAAGCACATCTTAGTGTGATACACTTATAAAAACAAAAATCTGGATATGGCCATAATGTCCTGGTTTGAGTGAGTGGCAGGGTTTGGCAGCAGGGGAGAGGGCTACAGCAGTGGTCCCTGGGAGAAGCTTCTCAAAGCTCCCCCAGCTCCGAGTCAGACCCAACTCTGGCCAAGCCAGGACAATTAGTGGTAGTGGCTGTGCCTCTGTGATAACATATTTAAGAAGGGGAACCTGGGAGGAGTTGTGAGGAGAACATGTGTGTGAACACCGAGGTCAGCGGAAGAACAGAGGAGAAGGGGGGAGGTGCGCCAGAGCAGAGACTCCCCTGTACCCCAGGTGAGATGGCAGGGCCGCCCCCTGCCACCCGTGGGGGCCTATGTTGGAGCAGATGCTGATTCGCAGCTGTGGGGTCCCCACGCCGGGGCAGGGGACTGCACCAGAAGAAGGCCGGGACCCTGTGGGAAGAAGCCCCCACTGTTGCAGTTCAGCACTGGGAGGATTGCCACACGTGGGGGTGACCCACACGCCACTGGGAGTGACTGATGTCGGAGCTGGTTTGTGGGGGACTGTCTCCTGTGAGAGGGGGACTGCACTGGAACAGGGCAGGAATGCCAGGAGTTCCCCTCCCCCTAGGTGGAAGAAGCGGCAGAACTGACCACAGCCCCCGCTCCCTGACCCCTGCGCTGCTGGGGAGGAGAAGGTAGAGATATGGGGAGGAAAGCTGAGCCGAGAAGAAGGTAGGGGTGTGGAAAGGTGTTTTCAAGATGCGGTAATGCTTCTCATGGTCCTATTCTGTTAAGTGATGGTGTTGTTAGTGTCTGTATTAAATGTTATGTTCTTTTTTTTCTTCCCCTAATGAGACTGTCTTTTGTCTGTGCCTTAAAGGATTAGGTCATCCCTCTTTGTCTTTATCTCAAGTTTCTGGGTCTTTTACTTCCCTCCTTCTCAGTGATGCAGGGGGGAAGGGGGGAGTGAGCAGCTGCATGGTGCTCAGTTGCCCTCTGAACTCAAACCAGGACACATACTTAAAAAGAAAATGTCATATTTGTCCTTTTGTAGCTGTGGAGACTTGGAAGTACAAAAGGACACATTTGTTGTGATCACTTACAATGCTATAATATGCTTAAGTTGTATCCAACAGATGGTACTTTTAAATTGTAAATAAGACATTAGTTTTTGATACTGACACACAGGGAACTAGCTGGCAACTACTATCATTGTATGCCAGATCTGTCGTAAGACTTTCTATTGAAAAGTAGCTCAGAGGTTACTAAAATTGTGCCATTTGATGTGTCTGACTCAGAATCTGCACTTCATGAAATCTTCATCTGTTATTTGTGACACAGATCACCAAAGAACATCAACATGAGAAAACTGGTTACTACTTTGAGATTTTTCTTTTGTCTGCTGCTTTCTTTTGATAATGATGTTCAGGTTACAGTGAACCTCTGTAAAGGGAAAATGGACAAAATGATAGACGAGTTTCTGTTTAAGTTGGGCTCAGTTTGGTGCTGTTCCACTTTTGACATTACCAGAGTAGTCCTGTTAACTGGAAATCATGATTTAGAACAATAGAGTTTGTTTATCCTACTAAATGGAGTAATGTAGACTATGAAAACTGTTTCTAAAAAGTAGTCAGAGGACTGAACTAGGCACTAATAACCTTTTGCTTAACATGTCTTGTCGACAACAGCATATATAGTGGTAGTACCAAGTAATTACTAAAACCATTATTGTATTTAGAAAATCCAACACTCAAGATTTCAGAATTTTTTAACTACTTAATTCAGAACTGCCTTTAATCCTGTTCTTTGTTGAATCATTTTGCCGCATCTCTACTTTTCCTCTTGTCCTGCACTGCACAGTTTCATTTATCTTTCCCTCCTATAGCAAACACCTTTCCCTCCTGTAACAAATGAAAAAGTCCTGCAGTCATCTCCTTTATTGCACAGTCCTGTTGAATCTATACTTAGCACTTTTGAGCATTGGAGCCTTTGGATGCAGCCCACTGACTTCCTGACAAGGTGATAAGCAGCTGAAAATAAGGTTCACCAAGAGAAGTGTCAATCAACCTAGATTTGGTGCACTAAACTCTTCATAATATGTTTCAAAAATTACACTAAGCCAGCAATTTGCTGCCAGTCTAGATTAAATATAATTTAAAGCAAGTTTAAAATATATGTGACTCTTGTCAAGAGAAGAAGCTAGTATTTAAGTGTTTTGTGTTTGGGGTTTGTTGGGTTTCTTTGTTGTTAGCTTTTTTGTTTGTTTTTGTAAATAATCACCAGTTGGAGAGAAAGTTGTCTGGATTGGGTAAAAATGCAGTTAAGCAAATGAAGGTATTTAGCCTTGCTTTGTGTTAGCACAGATCTTATAATCTCAGATTTTTTTAAAAAAAAATTATTTTTTCCCTTGATGAAACTCATTTGCTAGGTAGTAAGTACTGTGAATTTCATGTACATAAATCTTATGTTACTTTGTAAGAGTTATTATTAGCTCTTGACCTATTGCATTCTGAAAGGCAATTTGTGTGTGTTGTTGTAGCAGGTCACACTTTTGACTATGGATCCTTATAAAACTGGGTTTTTGTTAAATGTTGCCAGTGAAGTTTTTGAATGTAAAATTGAAGCAATAGCCAGCAAAACTTAGTAGGTGTTTAATTTTACATATGTGAGTAATCCTAGATATTTCAATTGGGCAATTCATCCATCTAAAATTAAATAGGTGTTGAAATATTTTGCTAGTTCAGGGGTTGGTTAAGTCAAAGAAAAAGCTTTTTACATTTATGCAGCAAATTGAGAAGAAGCTTTGCACATATGACAAGTATTAATTCCCTGGCAACAAAGAGGGATTTAAAAGGATATCTTTCATTAAAGGGTAAAACCAACCCACCCTTAACTAAAATTCATGAAAATAGAAAGTTACTTCCTTGAGGTAATTGCTTATTGAAAAATTGACAGAGTAGACTAAAGAATTTTTTTTTCCCCTTGCATTATATGATGGCATAATGTTCCCCATAAGCTGCAACATCATGGGAAACACAAAATTACAAGCAGTCATACAATAATGTACAAAGTTATTCCACATTTTGACCCACTTAAATCTTAACTTCTCTCAAAGTCTTGGTTCAAAGATAAATGAAGTCATGGTCCTTTGCGTTTTAAATTAATATGCTCCATTATTGGTGCATTTCATCAGTGACTTTTTAAAATTTAATTTTACAGTCACATTAACCATACTAACCGATGATCTAGTCCCATGAGATACCCTATTTTTCCTTTTTTTTTTTCTTTTTTTTTCTTAAAACGTAATAAAGTGCCTCTTACTTGCTGGAAATCACCTGGAGTACAATCTATTTAGTATATTAAAGGCAGGGGTATTAGGAGAGAGTGTAGCCAAACTTTATTGGCAGTTATATTCAATTTTGATGCAAGATTATTGTTACTCAATTGCAAAATTACCACGAAAATTTAAGAATTGTAATTGGAGGACAGGTTGACTGATCTGATGCTGTGTCTCCTGAGAGGAGAGGTTAAGGGAGCCAATGTAGTGACAGTCCTTAGTATCTCAAGCTTAAGTGGAGATGCCTTATGAATCCCCACTGTTATCCTGGTCGGTCTCAAAACTGCTCAAGTGGTGCAGTGGAATGTAAAGGGAAAAGGAAAGGCTAGGTTACAATGAAATTACTCTTCCATTCTCTGTCTTGGTTTTATGACATTATTAAAAATGTGTAATACGTAAATCTGCAGTCTGTGCAGTGCTTAAACACAGGGATGAAAACAAATGTTCTGGTTTGTTCTTTTTATCAGTGAACTAGTTTCAAAACCTCAGTCTGAAACAAGGCTGTTTGTGTGGCAGGGCTTTTGGGAGCGGGGGAGTGGGCTACAGCTGGGAGAACCTGCTGCAAGTTCCCCTGGCTGCAAGTTGGACCTGCCTCTGGCCAAGTCTGGACCAATTAGTGATGGTGATTGCACCTCTGTGATAACATATTTAAGAAAGGTAACTGGGAGGAGGAGTTGGAGTTGTGAGGAGGGTTGCAAACACCAAGGTCAGTGGAAGAACAGAGAAGGAGGAAGTGGGGGAGGTGTGCCGGAGCAGAGAGCCCCCTTGTATTTCATAGTGAGACAGCAGGACCATGCCACACCAGCCATGCAGGTCATCAGTGGACCAGAGCCACCTGCGGCTTGTGAAGGACCCCAGAACTTTATGGGAAGAAGCAGCCCCCACTGTTGTAGTTTGGTGCTGAGAGGACTGCAACATGTGGAGGTGATCCACACCAGAGCATCTCAAGAAGAATGCATCCTGTGGGGAGGGCTCACAACAACAAAGTTTGTGAATCCTTGCAGAAGCAGCATTGGACTGACTGCACCTCTGTCCCCTGCCCCCTGCGCCACTGAGCAGAGTAGGTAGAGATACCAGGAATAAAACTGAGCCCAGGAAAAAGGAAAGGGTGGGAGAAGTGTTTTTTTAGCATACGGTAACACTCCTCCTCCTGTCTGTTAAGTGGTGATGGTGTTAGTGTTTTGAATTAAAGTGATGTTCTTTTTTCTTCCCTAATGAGCTTGCCTTTTGCCTGTGACCATAATGGGTGAGCCACCACTCCCTGTCCTTATGTCGATTCCTGAGCCTTTTGTTTAATTTTTTATCCTTCCCAGAGCTGAGCGAGTAAGGGGTGAGTGCACCACTATGTGGTGCTCAGTTGCCCTCGGGGCTTAAACCATGACAATGTATTTAAAATGTTTTTTCTGCAGTTAGATTGTGGCCTTATTTTGTGATCCTAATTCATGGTTGTGGTGTTTCATTTTCCTAGCTACAAGGTTTTTTTTATAGTATGAGTATTTTTCGTAACAGTATAGTATATGGCCGCCACCTGCAGCTCACACTTGTACTGAAGTAATAGCGTATATTTTTGGTACTATCTTTTTTAAAAATGTTGGATTTTCTTGGAAGAATTCTCTGTTCATGATGTATACAGTGTGTCTGCAGTTTGAATCACTGAACACTTCAGGATTTTATGTCCCTTGCTGAGAGCATACTGTATGTTTGATTATAGCAGTACAGAGGTCAGAAATTTCCAGGTGCAGACTTCTTAGATGTGAGTTGTTAGCAAAACAGAAATCCATTATTTTAAATAATGAAAAGGGAAGATATGACAGATTTTGCGCCTTCGTAAATTAAGCTAGCATTTTGTCTGGATTGAGACGAAGCAGTGTTTTGCAGAGGTGGGCATCCATAGCTATAGCACCTTGTGGAGGAGAGATTTTGAGGAAGGACAGGGAGTAAGGGAGTGCAGAGAGAGAACACTGCTGTGTGAATCATTACTAATCTTTGTGTCTCTTATTCACTTGTTTTAGAACTAATAGATATCACATGTACCTTGCTGCTGCTGAATCCCGACTTCACCACTGCTTGGAACGTGAGGTATGTTACATTCAATGAGTGACATCAGAAAGACCTGAGCTTTATGTGTGAGTCAGCTGTAAGCATTGTTTTAAACGGTAATGAATGACACAGCAAGAGCTTTTCAGCTCAGGATTGCTGAAGGAATGTTAAAAATCTCTTCTATCCTGTATGCCTTGCAGATAGTTTCAGATTGCCTTTTTTTTTTCTTTGTTTTCTTTTTGTAGTGCAGGCTAAAGGTTACATTGCTGCATGTGAAGGCACATGTTTGGCTCACATTTTGGGAGGATATAAGTCTCCTTGAACTGCCACTTCTCTTTACATCTGTCAGTTCAGGAATGCCATTTTTACCTTTAGATGGTGTCCTGGTCCAGCTAAGATAGGGTTAAGTTTCCCCAGTAGTGGGGAGGGAGCTCTAGACTGGTTATTCATGTACCATGCTGATGTCGGATCCGGGCGCCCAAGCAGAGGAAGAGCATTGGGATGGTTTGCGTTTGCCGTCGGTACCCTCACTTGTTGTATCTGTGTGGTGTATCTCTTATTCTGTTCATTGATATCGTTGTTGTTTGGTTTGTTGTTGCACTGTTGTATTTTTCCTTATCTCAACGCTGGGGTTTGTATCTCACTCCCTGCCCCCTCCGGTCCGAGGGTGGGGGAGAGACAGGTGGCAACATGGTCTCAGGTTCCAGCAGGGCCTAAACCACCACAGCCTTTTTTGGCACCTAATGTGGGGCCCAAGAGGGTTGAGATAAGGATAAACCCTGACCAGAGTGTGTTAGAGCAGTCTGTTAGGTGTAATCTTTCTGGGTTTATTTGTATTGTTTGATAAGGAACATTGGCAGTGCTGGCCCACTTGCTTGCATGGTGGGGCTAGATTAAATCTTATATCCACTGTGTGATCCCAGTGCTGGTGTTTGGTGGTGGTGGAAAAAGTATCAAAGGTCTTGCTTTGCTATACTGGGTACTGACTGCTTATAATGTGTTCGTATCACTGCTTGTGGGGGTGAACAGGTACCTGTTTGCTGCCTGGGCTTTTGTTAGGGGTCTCACCCCCTCTATGAGTGAGCCAGGGGAAGAGATACTCCCTGTTTTGGAGAGTTTTAACTATCCTTGGAGCATCCAGGCCAGTGTGTTTGTGGCGCTGTGCTCTCTGGGTGTCTGCCAGATCTCATTTTGAGCCATGTGGTATTTCTCCAATAATAGCACCACCTGGAAACCTGCCCCAAAGTTGGATAATTATGAGTGGCAAGGTGTGTGGGAAAAGATGGGCAAGTGCCTGAGTCGGTGGTCACCCCAACATTTTGGAATTTCACTCCCAAACAAATGCAGAGCCCTGATAAACTGGTGGAGTACTTAGAACAGGTGTGTTACCAATCTAACAAATCCCAGGAGACACAAATTGCTGTGATGTGCTGGGGACTTGCCCATGCCTACCATGTTCTCTTTAACACTACTCACTGCCCTCAAGGGGGAAAAAGGGCTGCAGGATCTGAAAGTGAACTTACCGGGCCGGGGGAACAGGCAGAGGCAGTATCAGTTGCCTCCACCAGCACAGCAGCTGAGCCAAAGAGACAGCCAGTGCTGGTGTCAATTGTCCCCACTAGTGCAGCAGTAGGGCCAGAAGGACAGGTAGAGGCAGTGTCAGTCACCCCGATACAGAAAACCAAATATACCAAAAAGTCAGCTCACAAAGTGGGGGATGGAGATGAGCCAGGCGCAGCATGGGAACAGGGGGAAGGGCCAGAGGTGTTCGTCTGATCTCTATCCCCAACTGAGCTGCGAGATAATGCAGAAGCATTTCAGCCGCCTTCCAGGCTAGCAGATTTGCACCTGACTGCTCCGATGCTGGGATAGTGGAGTTGGTGTTCTGCAATTGGAGGGAAGAGTGGCCAAGCAGCTGGGATCTTTGTCCAGGGAGTCTGGCATTGACAGGGCACTAGGGAGACAGACTCAAACCCTCACCCTTTGGAGGTGACTCCTGCTCAGTGTAAGGGAGAGGTACCCATACAAGGATGATTTCCTATGTCGGTTAGGCAAGTGGACCAACACTGAGAAAGGCATCCAAAACCTCAGGGAACTGGCTGTGTTTGATATGGCTTATGGTGATCTGAGTGATGAGCAGTCACCCATAGACACAGATAAGGCCCTTTGCACACAACTGATGTGGCGAAAGTTCCTGCAAAGTGCACCAGAAGCACGTTTTAAAGCATTGGGGATAGTGTCCTGATGGCGAGACACCCACACTCAAACAGTGGATGAAGTGGTTGTCCATCTCTGGCAATATGAGGAAAATCTCCCTTCATCTCAACATTCCTGGGTCTCAGCTGTGGAGGAACTGTCTCAGAGGGTCCAGAAAATGGAAGAGGACATGTCCTACATTCCAACTGCATGGGCTGTTGTCTCAGCCATTAGAAGTAAACGTTTCCCCACCCAAGAGAAAGACAGCAGAAGGCATACACCACGGGGCACCCTGTGGTTTTTCTTCTGTGACCATGGAGAAAACATGAGGAGATGGGAAGGACAGCCCACTGCTGCCCTAGCTGCACGAGTAGAGCAGCTGAAAGGGAAGACCACCATGAAAGGGGAGTCTTCCAAGAAAAAAACGCAGCTCCAGTATCCAGTCAGAAATCCCTCAGACAGAATAGAATGGTCAACGTTATGCCTGACCCTCTTGAGGGGACCAGTGAATCATTCTTAAGTGAGTGATGGTGAGCAGGATTAGAGGGGCCCTGCCTCCAGCCAGGTGGAGGAAAGGGATAATTGGATTTACTGGACAGTGTGGATCCCATGGCCTGGCACATCAGACCCACAAGAATATAAGGCCGTGGTAGGTACTGGTGCACAGTGATGCCACTTGATCCGCCAAGCTGATGGCACCCTGATGCCATCGAGCTACAATGGCGTTGAACCCATCTGTATCTCCAGAGTGACAGGGGGATCCAAACAGCTGATCTTACTGGAAGCTGAAGTGAGCCTGACTGGGAAGGACTGGCATAAGCACCCCATTGTGACTGGCCCAAATGCCCCGTGCATCCTGGGCATCAACTATCTCAGGAGAGGGAACTTCAAAGACCCAAAAGTGTACCGGTGGGCTTTTGGTATAGCTGCCCTGGAGGAGGTTGAAGAGTTGTCCACCTTACCCGGCCTCTCAGAGGATCCCTCAGTGGTGGGGCGGCTTAAGGTTGAGGAGCAGCGAGTGCCGATTGCTACCAGGACGGTGCACCGGCGGCAGTACCGCACCAACCGAGATTCCCTGGTCCCCATCCATCAGCTGATCTGTCAACTAGAAAGCCAGAAGGTGATCAGCAAAACTCACTCCCCCTGCAACAGCACTGTATGGCCAGTTAGAAAGCCTAATGGTGAATGGAGGCTAACTGTGGACTACCGTGGCCTGAATGGAGTTACGCCAGCAATGAGTGCTGCAGTGCCGGACATGCTAGAGCTCCAGTATGAATTGGAGTCGAAGGCAGCCAAGTAGTACGCCACGATTGACATTGCTAACGTGTTTTTCTCCATTCTGATAGTGACAGGCCACAGTTTTTGTTCACTTGGAAGGCTGCTGTATGGAGTCCCACACGATGGGTCACTGAAGCAGCTGAGGGACAGGGTGAATCGAGCCAGTTCGCAGAGGTGAAAGCCATCCAGCTTGCTTTGGATATTGCTGAGCGGGAAAAGTGACCAAGGCTCTACCTTTACAACGACGCGTGGGCAGTGGCGAATACCCTGTGGAAATGGCTGCAGCAATGGAAGCAGAACAACTGGCAACATAGGGGTAAAACCGTCTGGGCTGCTGAAGTATGGCAGGACGTTGCAGCCCGGGTGGAAAACCTCATTGTGAAGGTACGCCATGTGGATGCCCATGTACTCAAGAGTCGGGCCACTGATGAACATCGACACAACCAGCAGGCAGACCAAGCTGCTAAGATCAGAGTGGCTCAGGTGGACTTGGACTGGCAGCGCAAAGGTGAACTGTTCATAGCCCGGTGGGCCCATGAGACCTCAGGTCACCAAGGTAGAGATGCAACATACAGGGGGGGCTTGAGATTGAGGGGTGGACCTCGCCCTTGACATGTTTGCAGAGATCATCCACGGATGTGAGACATGTGCTGCAATCAAACAGGCCAAGCGGGTGAAGCCCCAGCGAAATGGAGAGCGATGGCTGAAATATAGATATGGAGAGGCCTGGCAGATCGACTACATCACACTGCCACAGACCCGCCAAAGCAAGTGCCACGTGCTCACAATGGTGGAAGTAACCACTGGAAGGCTGGAAACTTATCCAGCGCCTCATGCCACCGCCCGGAACACCATCCTGGGCCTTGAAACCCGTGTCCTGTGGCGACACGGCACCCAGAGAGAATTGAGTCAGACAACGGGACCCACTTCCGAAACAACCTCATAAATGCCAGGGCAGAAGAAGACGCCATCAAGTGGGTCTACCACATCCCCTACCACGCACCAGCCTCTGGGAAGATCAAGCACTACAATGGACTGTTAAAAACCACATTGAAAACACTGGGAGTGGGGACCTTCAAAGACTGGGACATGCATCTAGCAAAGGCCACCTGGCTAGTCAACACAAGAGGATCTGCCAGTTGAGCTGGCCTGGCTCAGTCAAACCTCCACGTGCTGTAGATGGGGATAAAGTCCCTGTGGTGCACATGAGGGATGTGCTGGGAAAAATGGTCTGCTTTAGTCCTGCGCCAGGCAAAGATAAAGACAAACCCATCCAGGGAATTGCTTTTGCCCAAGGACCTGGGTGCACCTGATGGGTGATGCAGGACAGCGGAGAGGTCCGATGCGTACCACAGGGGGACTTGATTCTGGGTGAGAACACGCCGTGAATTATGCTGTGCCTTTGTAAATTGTTATTCTGTGATTGTTAACTGCTAAATGGCAGCTGGACGTGACACAGATGGTATAGAACAAAGGGGTGGATTACGTCCCGGTTCAGCTGGGACAGGGTTTAGAGAGAGAGGGGGAAGGGATCTCCAGCCAGGTTATTCATACCATGCTGATGT